ATTTTTAGGCACCAAAAAAGTGTGTTTTAGGCACCAAAGACAGGCAGGTAAAACACCGTTTTAGGCCTTCAAAATCGTATACACACGATAAATTTCTACAAAAATTGAAATAATTTTAAACAAAGACGTCAGTGACTTGTATCTATGAGAAAAAGCAAAAAAAAAATAATGTTTAAGGTAGCACAAAGGCACCAACGGTTGAACATAGGCATGCATTTGCCGGGCGATTCGCAGAAAACAGGCTTTTGTTTTGTTGTCCAGCATTGTGAATCAAGTGTCCTGTGAGTCAAATTTCTACTGAATGCCACTTGCCCTTCTCCCGGGCATGCGCCCCAAGATGGAGGGAGCGACGTACAGCAAGAAATAGTCCTGCTTTTACATCACTAATTTACGTTGACATTAGTGCTTTGACGTCGCTCATTATACACTCTTCATCAGGTCTTAGTTAAATGCTGGCTATATAAAAAAAAACGGATGAAAAATCTCCCGTCTGCTGATTATATCCTGCAGTTTAAATAGTACCTCATTAAGAGAATTGTATGTGAATTGTAATTGGCATGTGTAAGTTGTGTGTTCTGTTGTGTAGCATGAATGAGGCGTACTTTGGTTTGGCCTTGCTGCTTCATATCATACTGAAAGGGAAGTCGAAAGACAAAGGGAAAATAAAGACGGTGCTCTTTGTCTTTCTTCTCCCTGCATCCTTGCACTACCTTTCAAAATGAGTATAATGATTGAAAGCTTAGGAAAATAATAAAAAGTGCAAACGAATGTCAGCTTGTTATTATGTTTATTTTTGTTTTCAGTGGCCGCGAGATGCTATACACTAATCGGTCGTCGTTTCGTTTCCACCTTGGTAGACTTGTGGCTAAGGTGCTCCGCTGCTGACCCGAATGTCGTGGTTTCTATTCTGGCCGTGGCGGTCGCATCTAGACGGAAGTGCACGTTAATGAACACCAGATGGTCAAAATTTACGGAGACATCCACTACGGCATTGCTCATAATCATATTGTGGTTTTTTCACGTAAAACCACACATACTACCACTACTGCTACTACTACTACTATATACTACTACTGCTACTATGCCATTTCTCTTGCGTTTGTCTTTTCGTCGTTCCTGCATCATGCCTTGGCTAACCCTGACAACGCTTAGCTTGTGTTTGGTGCGTCGTCTCTGACCACAGTTTCAGCAGAGTGACGTCGTGTATTGCGGTTAAGATACATGATCCTTCCCAGCCTCTCCAAAAGTACGCGCACCGACTGATCCATCCTATAGAAATGGATGGTACAACATCGATGGCGTACGTGCACGAGTAGGCTGGGGCACGTCATGCGCGCGTGACCTTGCTTACGCACGATGTTCGTGGTGTGTATGCATCATGTGATCTTCCAGCCCTGATGCTGAAAAGAGATGGCAAGCAATTAGGCTCGCAATGGCTTCATGGGGTGAGAGGCAAGAGATTCAAGCTTGCCTCTTCGTATTGCAGTTTATTGGCTCGTAGCGAACTAATCTGAAAAATGACCGTGATAGAACGCTTTTTATTGGGCACGCAAGAACTTCTAGTGTCGAACTACAACTTTCTATGTCACCTAGAGAGGGGTGCTTAAAAGTAAATTACAAACAAAACAAAAGCCGTGTGCACATCACATTTTTTATTCGAAGGTGCTGCAGCAGATGGCTTACAATGTCAAGGAAAACACGCCTTCATTGATAAAGCACACTTGTTCTCTTTATAAGCCAATTAATATAAGAATTAGATCTGATACAATATTCTAAAATCTCAAAACAATTACCAATGCACGAAGAAGACTGTTTAGGTATAATCATTTTCGAATGCCAGTTTTACCATGAAATTCTAGACGTACGAGCGTTAACCGCAGTTTAATTAGACGCGATGATAGCACTTCCCATCCTTGTTCATTTTTCATATTGGTACAACTGTCATTTTTTGAGTAATGGTTTAGGACAAACCATGCAGCCTTTTTTTTTTTTCATGCTTGTCATTATAAGAGTTATGCCAAGGGATCGCGCATGGCACAAGCATATTCAGGCATAGAGTGAATGTATGCTGAATACACCGTTGATTGTAAACATGCAGCACCTGTCTCAGGCTTCGCTGTATGAATTATATCGATTTGGCGGCCTTCGCCACCACTGAATCAACATGAGCATTCCATGAGTGGTCCTCCATCATTTTTCATTTGTTCTCCACCTATCCACTGCTGCACAGAAAAACCTGCTGTTCAATTCCTTCAATTCCTTCAGGACACTAAACAGCTGTCTGTAGAAGACGACCTTGGCCATAGACACCACTCTTATTCCCATCTTTAATTCTCGCTCCTCATTCCCCTGCAGACGGTGCTTCCACTTAGGGCTGCAAAAATAGCGTCTTTTGCACTCCTCGTGCTCCTTCTTCAATCGCTTGCCAGGTGGCTAGGGAGTGCAATTTCACTGTGGTTAGCGGTTGTTTTGCAGAAGTTGCTAGAACTAGAGAACCTCATAGTGTTTGAAAATATCAATGTTGCTTTTTTACACAAATAATGGTTTCAAACTGCGCTTGAAAACAAAATATGGGCTTAAATAGTGCTCATATGAGCACTGATTTGGAAAATAGGCATTTATAGGCACTTAAATAGTGCTCATATAAGCACTGATTTGGAAAATAGGCATTTATAGGCACTTATAGGCATTTAGGCACGAACACCTGAAATAGGCATTTATATGTACTATAAAAACACTATAAAAGCTTTTGTTGACCTCTAATTCTTGCTCGTATATCAAAACGGCATGATATAAACACAAGGAACAAAATGTACATTTGCTTATAATCCGGTCTTTACCGATGACAGTTTAATTTAGAAATTGAGGTTATTAATTTTTGCACCAAATTCAGATTTGTGTTGTTTAATATAGGGCTGACAATATGTTTCATCTTGTAAACATAAAGCACATGTCTTTCCATTTCTTTTCATTTCTATCAAAGGCTTACACCTTTTGGTTGCTTGTTTTGTCCATTGAGATGCTCAAATGTTCAAGTACTGTGATCTAAGATCACTTTTGATCGAATCTTGGCTGCAGCGGCTGCATTTTCGAGGCCAAAATGCTGTAGGCCCATGTGCTCAGATTTGGGTGCACGTTAAAGAACCCCACGTGGTCGAAATTTCCAAAGCCCTTCACTACGGTGTCTCTCATAATCATATGGTGATTTTGGGATGTTAAACCCCACATATCTGTCAATCAAGATCACTTTTGATGAAATCAAAGCATTCACTCTTAATTCAATGAAGTTGTTACATTGCAATGGTGTTACAATATAAATAATTATTTTTAGTGAGTTATTATTAGTTGTAATTTATTAGTTATTCAATATTTTTTCATTATTAGTAGCTTGCATCTGCCACCTTGATGAATCACTCTTCTTTTTTTTTATTGACTATGTATTTGCAAAATCGAATAAATAGGCTTTCCTGCAAGCATTGTTTCCCCAACCAAAAACTCTCATTCACCGACTTATTTTTGTTTGCCCACATCCACTTCTCAGGAAGGGGCATGAGCACCAAAAAGGCCTCCCAGAAATTGCTCCGAAGACGTAACTTTTGTATGCACCCTAACATTTTTGCAAATGCCAACAATTTGTAAAATGGTGAAGAGATGTTCGGTACTACGCTCAAGAATTCCCTTTCAGAGACATGAAAATTGCCTATTTCGGGAATTTTTCCCTGCAAACATTGATGCGATTTCCAGCATATTTCTCTGCACAATAGTACAAATTTCCGCCCCCATCTACGCACACACATACTATAATTACTTGTGTCTGACGTACTGGCGACTTTTGAAATCATGGCTAGCTCCTCCACTGCTATACAACATAAGCGTGACTTTATTAATTAATATACTGTTAGTACACTGCACATCGTGGGCTTGAAGTTTAACACCAGTATTGAACTAAATATCGCTAAAATCGGAAACAAATGTCAAAGGCTATGCTTGCGTGGTGCATGTTCCAGAACCAATTGCAGCAGATGAAGGCACACTGTGACTGCTAATTATCAATTGTCATAGGAGATTTTAACCATTCCTAAAGGTTCATGCAATATCACTAAGATTCCCCTTTTCCCTTTAGCTCAAAATTACAGGCGAAAATTCCCCCAAAAAGGGAAAATTTCCTGCACGGAACATCACTGAAATGGTCGGGTGTGTGCACAACCAAAAATATTTTCTGCCTAATAACCTTGCACATACTAGTGAAACAAACTATCACCCTATTCAACACTCACTCCTGCCTTTTGTTTCCCCTTTTTGCTCTCTCTGCGGCATGATATTCCTGCAGTAATCTTTGAAAAGCCTATATGGTGCTGTGTACCATCCCTGGAATAGGGTAAAGTAAATGTACTTGGAGCAACCAAATCGGCCTGTGAGTGAGAGAAATTATTGGATAACAAGTCCTCTAAGATGAAAGCCTACTTAGATTTTTACAAATGGTCCAATCTCCTGTAATGTCCTGCAATGGGCTATGACTGCAAACAATTACAGCTTTCTAGTAAGTTGGATGCACTGCTGCTCAACTGAAAAAAAAGCTGCTGTACTTCAAAAGAATTCTTTTGGAGTGTCAGTGAAGCACGGGGAGTACAACAGTTGAGGGGTAGTGCAGCCACCCAGTTCGCCTCTCTTAAGGACACTATATGGATGAGACATTGGAGTAGCATGGATAATTGGGCTAGTTGGTTCATCTTTTAACTGGATCGCACACAGACACTAGAACAAGCACTTACATTATGTGCATTTTTTTGTTCTATTGTCCGTGTCTGTGTGTGCACGTTTATCTGGTTAAAAGAGGACACATTGGAGTAGAACTTGACTCTCTGTTACAGATAAGAAGGTCAAGTCACGAATGTGATAACTGCAGAGTATTTTTGACTGGCTTGTGCCCTGTGCAAGTATTATGCGTACTACATTGCTGACCAGACCTTGAGTTGTGAGATGGTGGCATGTGAATGCAGGTTGACACGCTGCCACTACAGTCGCATTGGCTGCCAATGGAGGGGTCCGTACCATGAGCTGGATGTGCATTCCCAAGTGTGCTCACATCCTCACAAATCTGGTGGAGAAGTGATGGAAGCCCTTGAGCTCATTGACCAGCAGATGCACAAGGAGCAGATGCTGTACAACACCATCTTTGAACTGCTGTCATTTGAGAAGATCACTTTCAATGGTACTGTATAGCTGTACTTGACAAGAAAGAATTTAAATTGCACTTTCTTGACACATCATGTGACTTCATTATTAGCAGTAGTCAACGTGCAGAGATGTCGACAGGATTCTGTCTCGGGGTGTGCAAACCCATCTTGCATTGCAGCGAGGGAGAAGGAGAGGGGTGGTGTAGTGTGGCTTGAGTGTTGAGTGTGTGGGGTGGGGGTGGGGAGTGGGCAAACGCTGGTAGGGGGTGCAAAGTACCCATTTTGCACTACCCTACGAGAATTTGCCCCCTTCAACATGCGTGCTTATTCAATTCGTTGTTCTCATGTTGCATATTGGCACAGCAGGTTGGCGTCAGAAGTATCATTACATATCTTTTGCAAAAAAACTCATTGCATTTTTTTTTTCATTGTATTAATAAATACTGAATAAAACAAGGGCATTTTCTTGTAGGACACAACCTAATTATGGCACGGTTTGACCCTATAACTCTTTAACTTCTCTACCAAAGACCAGTTGGTGGTTGGGTCTTAGGTGCTGTATTATTACTGTCGACTCAACTATCACCAGCCAGCGGGTGACCTAATAAACTGCAAAATTACTAGTGATAAAAGCCTGTAATCTTCAATGTACGCTGGTTACTTCTGCACTTATATGCTTACGAATGCAAAAGCTTTTTGTCCTAACCTTGCAACCTGATGAAAATGGCAGATTAGAGAATTCTTTTCAAATCAAAGGAGGCAGTTTGTGTATTTGTTTATCATGAATTTCAGTTCATTATAATAATTTTCTCGCAAAAAGCATACGTTGGCAAAATTGGAAGAAACATGACATATAGTGCTTGTTGAGCATGAGCTTTTTGCAATAATGTCAAAAGAGCAACTAGTACATTTTTAGAAAACACATAGTTTTTGCCTTCAAAAGCAATGCTTTAAGCACAAGGGCACGTGTGATGCTTTGTTGGTGTGAAAAAAAAAAAAAAAGAAATAAAGCAATCATTTTTGCTTGGAGGGAAGAGGTATGCCCCATACTTCGAGCAGCAACTCATGCAGACTGCTTCGCATTGAGGAAACTTGCATTGCTGTCACTTCTGGCTCCAAAGCACTAAACTTTTACGAGGAGAGCTACAATTCATTAGAAAATATAATGAAATGACTTACTGAGAATTCTTAACTAATCTCGGGTAAAAGCATTTTGGGTCCATCTCGCCTATGCTGTGACTAAAGGGCATTCAAGAGCACATTGTTGTGCTTTTGCGACATAGCTACTTTTTGAGTTGCTGTGGTGTGGCTTTAATAATATCTTGGTCTGAGTATGTGAAACACGGAAGTTTAACTTAACACTTTGTACGTTCACTTGCCAAACAAACAGATGCAGTTTCATGCATAAAGCATTTTTAACGATGTCAGAGTGATAGGCAGCTACTAAATGTAGCATGTACCTAAATTGTATGTAAATTGCTTTAACATTTTCTTACTGTTTAAAGGAGCAAATTGCTGTGAAGCCAGACAAAAATTTGTAAAGATGTCGCACGAAGACCGTGAGTACTTGCCATTGAAATACTGGCTTGACGAATGCTGACAGCAGGGAGCGGATGCTGCATGCTGCTGCTTGCCTCACTGTATCTGTGGAACATTTATTTGTGTGAGGCAAGTAACAGTGAGAAGTGTTATAACTAATGATCTGAACTATAAGATATGATCTTCATCTGAAGCTTTAGCAATAAGAAAAATTTTTCCGTAAAAATTTCACAAGATCTTTTTTCTTTTTTTTTTTTGAGAAAAGAAAACGCTGGACTTTGTACAAAGCTACATTTGCATTGGCTGGAGAAAACTAGGTAAATGTAAATGTAGACTGAAGATATTTTTAAAAATTTCAGACTTCATCACTGTGTCGCACTTTTACAAGCTATCACTACATAAAGGGATCGTCAAGTGCGCGGAACATGAAATTAGGTGCCTCCTCTGATGGCAAGATTGTCTGTCGCATTCACTCAAACTAGCCGGTTTTTTTTTTTTGTAGGAAATGCATTTATATCACTATTTCTTGACTGAAAGCCAAAAAAAGATCTTTTTCAGCAAAAACATGAACAATCAATTCGATGCACCTGGCCACGTGACTGTTGATTGCTGTATGTGTTCAGATATCTTATTGCTAGTATTGAAGTATTGATAGTTTTTTTACACTAAAAGATATTACTCCTTGGAAATGTACTATTGGCATCAAATGAAACGCGAACAGGGCAACGCGTTGCCCAAGCATTAGGAACAGTTTAGCGTACTCCATCCAGTAATCACTTCTGACAGGTGCGCTCATCCAGTTTGGCAGCACTGCGTGATGTCTTTGGAATGCAATATTTTTTTTTGCTTGTGTTCTGGTTCTGGTATGGTGTTGATAGGGGCTGGCATAGGCGTACCACACACTTTTGGTCATTTCACCTTTAATTTTGTTTGTTGCCTTTGTTTCAAAAATCAGCACTAGAACAGAGGTGAGAATACTGGACTCTAGGGTAATCGCGTTGTGCTGCCAAAACGGATGTGCACAGCAAACCTGTCTAGGGTGATTACTGGAGGGTGCACACTAACCTTCTATAATGCTTGCGGCACGTGCTCTGCTGTTTGTGTTTCATTTTACACCAATTGTAGATATAAATTGTACAGTACGTGTTACAGCGGCGCAGCTTGAGCAACTTTTCAGCGTGCTCATGCAACCATGCACGCAGTTTCCAAGTCACTCAGATGTTGGAGTGACATAGTTTTGCTTACCTACACCTAATTTCAGAAATGATGCGCATTGCTACTCGACACAGCCATGCATATGCTTAGTGAACTTCTTAATAACTTGGCTTTGCTCGTGCATCGAAAGAGTGACAATGCTGGAACAAGCCACCCATGACACAGGTAGAGGCAACCTTGGGCGAAGGCACGCCAAACAGGGTAAAATAAAAGAGCTGCCCACGAACGACGCCTCCCTGTGTGCTATCATAGTCCTCTTTGGGCTGCGCTTTATAGTTGTGACCCCCTCCAAAATGCAGTGCCAATGCTGTCCTGTCAGCCTTTGTACTCGCCCACGTGCAGCTCAGCATGACGGTGTTTTTTTCTCTCCTGTTAAAAGGTCTATAGATATATGTCACGAAAATGGGGTGGCCCTGTCATTGGGCGTTTAGTTTCACATGGTTGGCAAAAGCCGCCGTACCTACTGCAGTTGCTGCTGCATTTTCGCTGGTGCGTGCGGTGTTCGTTGTCATGCAAAGAAGAAAATACAGTGCACTTACGAGCTGTCATGGTTTTTTTGTGAGGGAGGCACAAGAAAGATGGACAGGTCTTTTTTGTTTGTCAGTTTTTTTTGTTTATAAAGACCATCAAAAGAAAATTGCCTTTGACGCCGGTTTACCGGTTGGTTTCAGCGTGGCTTACCCAGCAAAAGTGTTTAGCTTTGTCAAGCATTTGTAACTGTTATGTGGTGCACCGCATTTTTGGCATAAGATTTGTGAGGAGGCATAGCGAGCACACTTACCTCAAATACAAAACGTGTTAGCGTTGTGAATAGCATTGTCATATGCCAATAATTTTTTATGGTTGCCATTGTTCATACAGCTGCAGAAATCTTAGGCATGTTAAAAGGATTTTGTTACACTCGCGTGAACTAAAGGTGTCACTTAGTCATAAAGCATGTGTTTCTACATGGGCCCGGTTCTTTAAAGCAGCAGCAAACAAAAGAATTGATTTTACAATGCTTTTCCTGATTAAATGTGGCTGCAATGACCCAGCTGACGCAAGTGTACCAGGCAAAGCTGTTCTGGTTGCGGTGCGCTTCACGAGATTTTCATGTCTGCGAGAATTCACAGAATAGAGCACTCGGGGAAACTTGCAGAGCCTGTTCATGGTCTGTACGACTTTCACGGCCGCGACTTGAGCGCACTAATGTTTAGCCCCGGACCTGACAGGCACATAACCTCACTGTCCGCAGCATGTAGTTGAAGCTCTATCACAAGGGTATCAAGAATGAAAGTCACCGAGATCCCCCTTGTCGTTTTTATGAATAACTTTTCTGGCACATTTATATGCGAGGATTGACTGTAACGATTCATAGCACTGTGCATAAGTATATTGTACCCTAGAGCAAGTTACCGAGATCCCCCTTGTCGTTTTTATGAATTACATTTCTGGCATATCTATATGCGAGGATTGACTGTAACGATTCATAGCACTGTGCATAAGTATATTGTACCCTAGAGCCTGTTGCTGGATTGGGTTGGTCGTTCTTGCATTAGTTAACCAATTAACCAATGCATCATGCAGATTGCCGTAACAGTGAAAAAATTTCGCAAATGAGCTACATTTCTGCTGTTAAGAAACATCACACTTTGATGAGGTTATAGAAGCTAGAGCTAACCGTCAACATAGCTCATATGGTCATTTCAGGTTCGCTCTTAAAACTGCCGCGACGTCCTCTGTTGTGGCTGCCGCTTGTAAACATAAGGGAGGCACCCCAAAGCGGGGTGCTCAGAGGCAGCTTTTGTACATGCTGTGCCACTTGTCACAAGATCATAGAGGGCGGTAGCGAGCTTGTGAGCTTAGCCGGCTGGAAGGAGCCATTGCGCCGCATCGTCGCTACTGAAAACCTTATATGTATGTTGAAGGCGCCTACCGCTGTTTACAAACATGTAAGATCTATAGGGAAGGTGTATAATGCCAAATAATCTCAATGTAAAAGCTTGTTATTTTCAATAATAGTTAAAAAGCTTGAAAAAAGGTGGTTAAGCATAGTTAGAGGAAATTCTGTGAAAGCAGAAAAATGACAGCTATATTAAATCGTGAGAAGGCCTAGCTGCAATGCTATTGATTCTCAGCATTGCTGAAAGAAAAGTACATCTGTGTTTAGAGCCTTCTAGGTAGAAAAATGCTACTTTGTAAAATAGCTACATATCTTTGGGATTAACTACTGCAGCTACAAACACTGCGAAAAGTGAGCTTTCTGTCACGCTGTAAAAAAACGCGTCGAAAAAAAAATAACTTGTCAGTCCTCTTAAATGCCTTCCAGGTAGAAAAATGCTACTTTGTAAAATAGCTACATATCTTTGGGATTAACTACTGCAGCTACAAACACTACGAAAAGTGAGCTTTCTGTCACGCTGTAAAAAAACGTGTCGAAAAAAAATAACTTGTCAGTCCTCTTAAATGTTGTGCTTTGCTGCTTCAATAATTGTGAAAATGGTGGTAAATGTAGCTCGTGATTTAGGCCACTTGTGGGACATTCTGTAACACAAGCCCAGTGACATAGTGGGACCTCAGTATAATTAACCCCTGAACTGATCAATTTTTTTTTCTTTAGTTTCTCGACCAAAAGTGTCTATTTTTTTTTAATTACTGATTTCGAATATGATTGTTCTAAAAAGCAGCTAGTCAATGTTGAAAAAGTATTTGTACCATTACTTAGTCTAATCAACACAATGAAGTTTATGTCTGAACAATATGTAGGAAACCAGCTACCTGCTGCTAAAAAAATATAAACGTCATATAAAAAAACAGTTGCAGGCTCCACAACTTTCTTCACTTGAGTAGGCTAAGCACCCTTGGGCTATTTCACTCGGGAAGCTTCGGGACTGTGTGGAAAATTTTATTACGTGAAATAACGCCAAGTGGCTTCACTGGCTGGCACCCGCTGTGTTCACTTCTAAGCTGTCTTTATCATCACCGGAAGAGCTGCTCAATTCACCGTCATCGCTGTCTTCATTTCAGGACGCAAGATATCTGTATTCAAATCATCATCACTCGAAGATTATGAAAATGAAAAGCTGCTTTTTTGTGTTCACGGGCCAGCTATGCATGGGTTGCCACCACAGCACGCGGTCTTTCCATACAAAAACCGTGCTCCTGCAGCAGGAGAAAACTAAATCCGTGAGCAAATGTTGCCATCTAGTGCATCGCACGCAGTTTAAGCCGTCAATGCGCACTTCTTCGCCTCAACGCTAAAGGGGAGTACCCATTCTGCTAGGATTTCTGTTTGTCGAAATAAGTTTGGTGACAGTTTGGGCAGGACGAGTTCTGCTCGTCCAAGGCACTTGGGCGGTTAAGGACTTGCATTTTCACATCTCCACTCACAAGAAAGCATTTTAGTGCATTAGAAGGCAGAATAATATAGAACTTGTGTATTTTAGCTCAATTCTTACAAAAAATCAATTTCCATGTTCACCACGTTGTGCGCTGCTGCGCCGGACATAGCTGGCACCGCACATGCTGTGTTGGAAGGCTGTTCTCAGAGGCGGTTGGTTTGATTTACGCTATCTGTACGCGAACTGCTAAAGTTTTTTTTTCTCAAGCTAAGCATTTCGTAGGCACGAAAGAGGCTGTACAAGTAATTCCAAAATATTATTTCAACAATTCTTGTTGACTTCATATTTGCCTTTAGCATCCCTTCATCTCAAAGGAAGACTACCATGAAGAGTGAATAGACTTAAAGGGATGTTTTGTTATTGTGGTACTCCTTTTGTTCTCTTTTGGAGTTGAACATAAGAATTGGGTGTAATTAGGCTTCACTTGTCATTCAGGGATTCTAATTTTTTAGTGCTTGCTTACAATGGCAGTACCATTTTTTCCAGATTTGCAGTTTAAACCATACCGCACTGATGAGTTCATTCACAAGCTGTACTATGAGACATCTCGCTTCACTGCCTTTGGCTCACAGTGGGTTGTAAAAGCACGGGTGAATGACAATCAGCGTGATCCAACACAGTCCTGTGAGCGCACCCTCAGCTACCACCTTGTGCTCAAGAGCAAAGCTTCAGCGTAAGTAGCAACTCGCAAGTTGAAGGAGAGGCTACCATCTATTTGTTTACTAAAATTAACCAAGCCTTGGAAGATTTCACTTACACCCCAGCATACTATCATGCTCGTTGTTGCACTCAGTTGCTTGTGTCACTTTCTCCCACTGGTTCTTGCATCCCACCTTGCCACCTACTTGCATTCCTCAGCACTTAGGTATTCATCTACATGAGTGCATCTGTGCTCATGGCCACGCATAGTGTTGCTTGGTAAGTAATTATGAAGGAGTGAAGGGCCATAAACATGTGACTGTTCAGACTAGTTTCAGAGAATTATTTAGTGCTGATAACTGCGGCTAATCTTTCTTTTATGCATGTAGGGTGCTTTGTTTGCATTTAAAATCTGGCAAAATACCTCTTGGACAAGCTTTGTCAAGATCAGATGGCACCCCATTTTTCTTCTAAAATTTTTCTATTTTGTAATAAATACTTGTTGCACTGTGGTTCGACATGGGTCAGTGAAGCCCGCCGTGGTAGTATAGTGGTTATGGGGCTTGACTGCTTAACTGAAGGTTGCAGATTCAATCCCAGCTGTGCCGGTTGTATTTTGGTGGCGGTAGAATGCTAGAGGCCAGTGTGCTGTGTGATGCACACCTGATGCTCAAAATTTCCAGAGCTCTCCGAAATGGCACCTCATAATCGTATCATAATTTTGGGATTTAAAACCTCGCATATTATTAACATGGCTCAGTCTAGGAACAGCTTCAGCATCAGAGTAGGGAACTACAATAGTGAATTATAAGTGTGTGCATTGCTTGTATGAAGAGAATGGCAGATTACCATTATAGCAATAGTTCTGCCAGGAGTACAGAAGGGGAAGTAATCCTTAACTCTTTCCTTACCACGCCACTAGGCATCGTTCACCGGTGAGCGATGATTTCACGCCACTATTTTTGAACAACTACCACGCTTTGAGACCCCTAGCGCCATCTAGGTGATTGTCAACACACTAGAATTGCTTTTTCTACAGGGTTCGCTTTTTTACCACAGGGCGCCGATTTTTAAAGTGTGCGCGAGTTCAAAAGATTAGAGCGCACGTGAGCCCCGCGATGGCGCCGACGTCCGAAATAACGTTCACTCAGAAAACAGCGATTTCACTCGATTCCGACGCTTACACGAGCAATCTTTTGGACTTCTCGAGCAGTTTCAGCTCCGACGAAGGAATTGCACCAGATGAGCCAGGAACTTCTGCTGTTAGTTGCGAGTAAGTTCCCTAGTTCGGCCACCCACAGGTGTACAGCATAAGCCTGAGAGATTGGACATATGGCGCAACTGTAAAAAGTGCTACCAAGAGAACAAAATTCAACACAAGACAAACGTTTTCTGTCGCACATGCAACATCCATTTGTGCTTCACAGCGGGAAATTGTTTTGGTGCCTGGCACACCGATTTGCCTGAATTAACAATTTGTAGCTCAATAAGTTTTTGAGCTAAAGCTTTCATTTTTTCCATTGCTATTCCACTCCGCTGTGCACTTCTCATAACTTTTCCATAATTTTTTACTCAGAAGATATAAGTTTATCATTATGACCTTTTTTGTGAACTTAGTTAATTATTTGCGTTTGTAAATTTTTGTTACATATTTAGAGCTGCCATTTTTTTTTGTCAAATGTACTTTTCAAAATGTGCATTTAATGCTTGTATTTTGGTATCTAGTATTTTTCTGGCAAAACTCCCTCCTTCAAAAAAAAATAAAATCTTGGGTTGGGCCAACCCAGAAATTCACCATTTCACTATGCATGACGCAATTTTTTGTAACTCAAAGACAACTCTATCAAATTTTGCAATTCCTCTAAATAACGTTGCTAAGTTACTATTGAAGATTTTGTATATTTTGGAATTTCCCCCAAAAATATTTTGTAAGAGTAGTCGCTTTATTTTTTTTAAAAATTGTAAAATTTTGATTTTTTTCGTACAGGAATTTTTTTGGAGCAAATAAGTTTTATATTATGAAATAAACAGCATAGGAAAGTACATTCATTCACCTTTATTTTGGTGTATTGCATAACACTGTAAACCTAGCAGAAACTGCACAAAAAATTCCTAGCTGAAATATACAAAAATTGGCCACTTTCCCCGTGTTAAGGAAAGAGTTAAGGAGCACCAGCTAGAGTGGTCTTCCCCTCTTACACTAGCAAATGGGGACCTTGGTCGAAAACCTCTACAGACTTGCGTGGCTATCGGGCGTGCCACACCAGCTCTTGCTAATCATGCGGGTTCAAGCAGAATAACATTGGTCTCCCATGGCTGCAGGGATGTTGGGTGTGTGAGTGCATGTCCTTGTAGAGTGGTGTAGGTTTCATGGCAGTCACAGTGAGGATGTCTCTACATGTAGACGGTACGGTGAATAGCAGTATAAGAGTTTAATACAGAAAGTTGGTGGTCTAAAGTTGCTGCCAGACAACAGCCTCATCGTTATTCAAGGAATTGTGTGGAAGTATTGCCTACATGGGAGGCCATACTGTGGAAGAAGTGTGTTGTGCATCGGGAGTATGGACTACTCCGCAGTTTCATGGTCTTCTTTTTGTGACGCCTGAAGCACATGGGCTTGGGTGATGGCGCAAGTGTACCGAGTGCCGTGGAGATTCATGACTTGGGGTCCAGACTAAATTTGTATTCATTGGAAGAGAAGTGTCGATAATATATGGTGGGAATTGATGCACCTTATGGTGAAGCTACAGTAGGCAGCCTGTGAATCTTAAATGACTGTGGTGTAGAAGTGGTAGGTGCAAGAAACAATTCATGAATGCTTTCGTAGTATAAAAATTTTTGCTGCAGTGCATTAATTTTGCATGTTGAGGTGCCTTAGTAGTGCTAGTGTATTTTAAATATTGAGTAATTGCAGCATATTAATATGACACTGTTTTGAAGTTATGGATTTTGATTAGTGCTGCTGCTAAAGCATATTTTTGCCTCTTAGGCATCTGAAAATGTCGTTTAGTATAAACGGAAGTACAAGTCTGTGGACTACTGCAACATATTTACTTTACTGGTAGTATTACAAAATGAAAGCATTCCTTAGATGCTTCAAAATATTTTGCCTCTTTGATAGTTTTGGTTGCATAGATAATTTTTATTCATTTTATTTTTCTCAGTATTAATTTAGCCAGATAATATTCGATACCTTCCTTTTAAAAGTACACATATGCTGACCTTGTAAATAAAATTGAAAGGGCTGCTGAGACAATCTGTTTCAGCAACTCTTAATGAGCTACTGTGCCATGTTTAAAGTTGGTTAAAATAAGTATAGTATCTTGATGGTGCCTTTCTTGCCAGTATGGTTTATTGGAAGCTTGTTTGCCACACAGCTCCATGGGCATCCACTATATGGTTCTGAAGGGCCCATTTGGAGACCTCAAGGTAAATCCTCGCCTGTACCAGCATGAGTTTACAGAAGCTGCCATGGAAAGTCCATACCAACCGCTGCCATTGCTGGACTCGGCCGAATGCAACAAACTGCTTGCTGCCAAAGCCTTCAACTTTCGCCTCATCATGTTCCATGTAACTAAGTGAAATGGCCTCCAGTCATCCAGATCCCAAGCATGCTGTATATTCAACTTTTGTCCTTCCTCAAGATTTGTATCATGTCACACTCCCCTCAGATTACTTTTCTGGTGACTCAACTTAGACCCGATTCCTTGTATCGTACAAATAAACCCGGTCAACTGCCTGCAGTGCTTTTGTCTCTGTAGTCATTTAAAGACCACTTGTATACATGGTCATTGGGGCTTGGTCAAAATATAACCATGATGGGAAAGAAGCTGTATTGGTGTTTCAAGTACAGTCTTTTAACATATTACAGTTGAACCCCTTTATAAAAGGCATGCTCTGGGCAGCGATTCTTGTCTTTTATATGAGATGTCTGCTATAAGCATGGTACCATGTATGCATTTTTCAATCTACCCATATTTTACTGTAGGCACACTGGTGTCTCTTATATCAGTCTCTCTTATAAAGAGGTTCCGCTCTATAGATAAAGTGTTGGATTAAATTTCTTTGCAAATGTAAATGATTGCAGCTACATTTAATCTCCCGATGAAATAATTGAAATACTGTTATGTAATTAATTAGCTCATTATATTTCTTCAATATTTAATTTGCATTGTAGAAATGCAGTAAATAAGACATGCTGGCCTGGCTGTTCTCTGGAACATGTTCTCTGCAGCCATTTGCATTTTTTCTTCATTAATTTATTTTGACACTTCTTGTCGGTAATGTCTGGTTTCTTTGTAAAACTAGTAGCAATGGGAAAACTCTCGTGTTTCGACTTACAGTATAAGCTCGATCTGATAAAACCCGATTTTACGAATTGCCCGATTCAAAGTAGAAATCTCTATTCCTCGCAGGTGCCCTTAGGGTTCAATGTTATCATAAAGGTGAATTAACAATGTCTTTCTGAATATGAATGAGTACAAAATGCAGTGATTTCATTATAATAAGCCAGAGTGCTTTTTCCAAGAGCGTGCGCTGTAACACTATTGCATTATAACTAGCCACCCTAGCTCTGACCGTAGTTTTATTTTGACATAAATGCATGCGATGTTAATTCACGGAACACCAGATTTAACAGTTCATAGTGCTTTTATGTACTGAATGGTGCTCTGGGCAATTGCATCTGCCCTGTAATTGCTCTCACCAGAACTGGGTTCTTGATTCTGTTTTTTAATGGTTTACGCACCAGATGGCACTGATAGTTTCTTCTGGAAACTTTCTTGCTTTGCCTGCTTGCACAGCTACTGCATTCGTTTTTCCCATCTTTGTAAATTGGCTGCTTGTCAACTCTGTGCGACAGCCTGTCTTACAAGTGTCACCCGGACATGGGAAGCTTCATGTTCGGGCAATGTGGGAGACTCCATCTCCAGGCTGCCTTCGTAGACTTTTCACATGTGCTCAAGTGTGTTTGCGGCAAATAAAACACCGTGTTAACCTTTGGGTTTTGCTGCATTGCAATTATAGATGTCCAAGGGTAGAAAAATAATTTTCTACATTTTACCAATTTTCCGATTCAGCGACCCAACTCAAATGCGGTCATCACTTTGTTAAATTGAGCTTCAAATGCATATGAATGTTTGTAGCACAAGATCATACTTTTATTGATGTCACTGCGATAGCTTGCGCCTAGGTCCTCTACAGAAGACAAAGCTTTGCATTTGCCATGGCTCAAAGGCACTTGGCAAGTGCAAAGCTGGAGTGTCGACTGCTGTCGAGCCTTAGCAGTGATGGTTTGTCTAGTCACCCAACATATGGTGGAGTGTTAACATGGAGAAACAAATACAGAATGCTTTAGTTTGCATGTACCAGCACATGCAACTGTGAGCTTGCTCATAGAACAAAATGGGCAGCATACAGAGTGTTTCTTTTTTTTACAACAAAAGTTTGTCTGTGTTGTCTTGGACGGTCTGTTGTCAGGCCGGAACTTTCCTAGGTGAGTAAGTTATAACATGTGAATCAAGGTGCGTTGGAGCAGAATCTGGTTGGGCTAAATGGCAAGGCATCCGAAATAAGGAAATAGAGTGCTTATTCTCTGTGTGTAGTGGGATCTGGTGCTTACCTTTACTTAAATTGTAAATTAATGCAAAGAACTTTCTTGCCTGTTGACACGGCTGCCTATGGGTTTAGTTCTGTACAGACAAAATAAAAAATGCCACGCCTGCGTGGTAGGCGCAGCACAGTCCGAGCGAAAGCTAGAAGAGCGGCCTTTTTCAAAACACTCATTGGGTAACTACTGCAAGCACACTAGCTTGGTTCCCACTAGGGCATTAATAATGAACTTTTGGCTTGTAGGCCGGCATTCGCTATGCTATTTTTCGTCATTCTTCTGAGAAGCTAAAGAAAATATCTGCTAAACACTTACAAGTAATTTTAATTGTCCATGCAGTGGCTAACGATGATGAGGAATTATGGCTGAAGTGGGTGTGCACCACACTTAATAGGGAAACAGGAACAAACTTTTGTAATAGATTAGAGCATTGGATGGCCCACTCGTTATGCTATAGGCATTGTGCGATGACTGGTTCTTTCGCTGTTGTAAAACACTTTATATAAGTTGTATTAATGCGATTGCTTTCCCGACATCAAGCCTGCCTAAGGCAAGTTTGACAAGTCACAAGCACCGGTGTAGCTCAGTGGTACCGAATGAAGACCAAGTAAAAATATAACATCCATATTTTGCACAGAACTATCACAAGGCAAAAAACGAATTCCATATGAAGTAAGAGGTAAATCTTTTTTTTAAAGTCCTCTGTAAAATGTCCCAAAAGAAAATAGCGTTCTTACAATCAATAAACACATGTTCAATGGTCTCAGGTTTGTTACACAGGAGACAGCTGCTTCCCCATGGTACATACATCCCTCTCTCTTCAAGCCAAGTTTTTACTGGCAAGGTTCCCGTATGAAGTTTAAAAAAGAAGGTTTTCACATTTGGTGGTATACACATGTTTTTCACTCGCTTTAGTACGTCATGACCATATAATTTTTCATACCTTGAACGGTACAGGGGCACAGGAAAAACATTCTGTATTAGGTCTTTCATAAGGCGCTTTCTTTTCACATTAGTTAGGTAATCGTACAGACACTGTGATGTGAGAGTTCTATCCGTTAATGAGTGTTTCGTGGAAGCTGTTATAAAAGTGCGAGATGTGTATAAGACTACCGACTGTGTTGAAGATGTAATATCTTTGTTTGACGCGTTATCACGTATGAAACACGTGTGATACTGATTGTCATATTAGCTTGACCTGTAGTCAAGAAGGCAATAAAGAAAAAAAAAAGGTATAGCTCAGTGGTAGAATACTGGGCTGGCACCCAGGGGACCCGAGTTCGAGCCCCACTGTGCCATTGGTGCTGTGTTTTTTTTTTTAATTACGCACAATGTGGTTACGGACACCGGCGGCAGCGGACAACGTGCAACTGCGCATGACCCGAAAAGTGATCTCATAACAGCTTTCGCTGTAAAAGGAAATAGCTGCTTTGTTACACAAAGCCCGAAAGAAGGAATAAGCACCAAACATCACACACTGGTAGGCGATCCACTGGTTCAAGTGGATCGCCTACCAGAAGACTTGCCATTTTTTATGACAGCTTATGGCCTTCGTGCACCTTTTTTCCTATTTCATCACTACCGTGCCACTGGAAGTTCAGTCAATCTCTACATCTCCATTCAGTTACGATGAATATCTCTGAACTACATGCAGTTTTTGCAATTTTCTAAAAAAATGGGCAAATGATAAATTATCACATTAACAACAACAGGAGCCCGACTGTCATCAAATTTTGATAATGATTTGAATTTTGTGAACCAAAACGCCCTGCATATATGGAAGTCCCTGCAAATTAAAGAGCTCAAAGCTGTCTCTGTTATACTTTGTAAATAAAATAATTGATTACTAGTCATTAGTTATGTACAAGTCTGGTGCACTGCAATATCCTCTCCGTTCTTTGTACATTCTGGGTGACTAGCAATATTGACTCATGTGCCACAACTATATGCATCTCGAAGGGGAAAAATAATCGGCAATGTTACTACTGTGTTGAATCTTAGGAAGCTAGACACACAGAAAGAAAATTGATATTCACATGATGGCCCACTTTCAAAGGTGGTGGTGAAGGGACCCTCATCAAGCCTCATAACAAATTTTTGGTATACACTGCAAGTTGTATCGCAAACTGCAGGTACCGAAGTAGGCGACCTTTCAAACCACAGTGACACCCGCTCAGACTACTTCTCACTAAGGTGGTGCGAACAATAGAAAATTTCAAATACCGAATCTAATAGTGCATATATGGAACATTATTTATAAAATAACCAACAACAAAAATGCTTGAATGAATGAGATGTTGAAAGAGCCAGGGGTGACAGTGATTTTATCATCAAGTTGATTGATTGATTGATTGATTTGTGGGGTTTAATGTCCCAAAACCACCATTTGATTATGAGAGATGCCGTAGTGGAGGGCTCCGGAAATTTTGACCACCTGGGGTTCTTTAACGTGCATCCAAATCTGAGCACACGGGCCTACAACATTTCCGCCTCCATCGGAAATGCAGCCGCCGCAGCCGGGATTTAAACCCGCGACTTGCGGGTCAGCAGCCGAGTACCTTAGCCACTAGACCACTGCGGCGAGGCATTTTTTATCATTAAGTTACCCAAATGCATGCAGCCAATGTAATTGCAGGATTAACAATGCTATATTTATGACAAGAGGGGTAACTTATGTTTTCATCATCAAGTTACACGGATGCATGCTGCCGCCTGCGTAATTACAAGGCTAACAAGAGAGCTTTTGCTTAAGGTGTGTAGAAAACACATTACAGGACTAACAATAGAGTTTTTGTCTAAGGTGTGTCACCAAAGCGCTGAAGTCTTTAAACCATTACATGACATGACATCAATGCACTATCATGACAGTAATAATAATGTTAATTCATGAAACTTGCTCAATATTTATGTGTCACTTTTGTTCGAAAGCTGTTGACAAAGTACCAGCTGTAATATGGCAGTCACTGCTGTATTTCTTCCTGCAATTGAAAAATAGTTTGAGTGTTCTAGTTTCTGCTATATACGAGTGTGCCCTAGTTAAAATAATTGTGGAATGTCTTGTTCCTTATTGAAGCTTGTGAATATTTGTTTGAAATAAAATGTGAAATTCTTGGGCTGTTTTGAAATTCATTACCA